CAATATTAAAAGGAGAAGAAGATATTTTATTACTCAAAGGATAATTGTTTCTACAATGTTTTGATAGTTCACAAGACTAACAATGAAGACTAGACAAACTAATTCCCTTAAACAGTTCTGGGAATAAATGACTTAATGCAGAAAAAGAAAGATGACCCAAACGAAAATGACATAATATGACTCGACTGATGGACTCTGTAGATGTAGACCCAAAAGAAGCTTTTCCAGGTTGTTCATGGCACTGTCCAGGAGTATCTAGCAGGTATATTATATTCGCCTCACGGCCACTCCCAATCACCTTCTGAGACTCCAAATCCTGGAAAACACCGTAGGAAGGGAAGAAGGTTACACAACAGTTTAATGACTTAGTTAGGCTACTTACAGATAACAAGTTTGTATTTAGTCTAGGTACATGAAGAGCAAAAGGAAGAACCAAGGAGTCAGTAGCCTTGATGGTTCCCTTGCCAGAGATAGGGGCAAGAGAGCCATCGGCTAGGTGATTTTGTCACGTCCAGGAAGAAARTCATATGAAACAAACAAAGTAGAAAGGCTGGTCATATGATCAGAAGCACCAGAATCAATAATCCAAGGGATCCTATGATTACCTGAAATGGTTGCATGATTGGCAGAAGCCCGTATACCTAAATGAGCAAATGCAGAAGAGGTTGAATTTTTTGAAGGATTGGAAGAAGAGGTCACACCCTCTAGGTGACTGATCATCCTCCCAAACTTCTCATATTCTGCCTTCATAGCTGCTAACTGCACACTAGCCGTCATCTCTTCARTTTGATACCTATCACTATCTGGACCAGCAGCAACATTAGCACTCCCTGCCCTTTTATTTTCAGGCTTCTTCTGAAACCGAGGTGGTAGGAGCTCAGGATAAAATTTCCAGCACTTGTCTTTAGTGTGTTTTGGCTTTTTACAATACTCACAGACAATCTCTTTCTTCCCCGAGCTACTTTGAGTCCCTGCAACCCCCTTGGATTTCACTCCCATATTAGCAAAGTGATCATTTAAACCAGCCCCTTGAACCTAGACAAGTCTCTTGCTTTCTTCACTACTTACCAAGGCATATGCCTGAGACAGTGAGACACTATCCTTGGATAAAATATTTTGTTTTGTAATATCATACTCTCGATTTA